TGTTTAACTCCACACAAGGAAGATAGTGCAACACATCGATCACAAGTTATTTAGTACTAGAACAAAGGAAGTGAAGCATATTTATGCACAAGCACAATCATGATGCATGCTCGTCATATTCGTCCTCACTAAATTACCAGCCTAAGGTGACAATCATGTTCTATGTCGGTGGCATAACACGTACTCTCTCGATATATAGCTAGTCGTCAGCTACATTCAATCTACGCATTCGTGGTTAGCGTACCTACAGACAAATTCATTGCAGCCCATCCCCACAAGAGATAAATAAGCACACAATAAAAGCAGTAAACTAAGATACTCTCCATATATACATTCCCAGATATATATACTTTGGTATCCATAGCTACCCAACAGATATACCCACAATTAAGTACATTCATATATACATGGGTGTAACATGTAAATATTCCAGTAACCACAGCTAACTCTCCCCTAGACCAACAGTTGGACGGTCTTGCTCTCACAACTCACACTTACCTGGGCGTAGAGGCAATTGATCCATACATTACCACCCAAGAGGATGGCATCCATATAATAGCATGCCGTATGGACGACGAAAGCAAAAACCCCCATGTTAGTACTTAGATAGCCACCTAATAGTCCTTAACTGGGCATAAAGAAGGATGTCGCTAGTATAGTTTTGCAAATAAGTTTTGACAAATTTTCCTATAGCTAAAATTTTAGTCAAAATAGGATTTTTAAAACCAAAACTTTGTTTTTAAAACTATGTACATGATAGTATTATGCTTAATCTTGCTCTGATGCCAGCTATGACAGAACCGCCCAATTTATACAAGATCAAGTACGGCTGTCCCCGCTAACACGTTGACATGCACATACTTTCACTCATATAAACCTGGTAGTCCACCGAGTGTCACGAAGGACCTCGGTAAATCAACATCACAACCAAGATCGCGTGATTAAGCAAATACACATCACATACGTAGAGTTGCAGCGGAAATAATATTACAATTGGGTTCACAAATAATAGTACAAGTTTGGGTTTTAAAACCAATTAGAGAAAACAACATAACTTTCAAATGATTACATTAATATAAGTTCCAAATACATTGCTAGCATAAGTGACATCCTCTGATAAAAGCATATAGGTGAGAAGTAAATATAGAGTCACCGAGCCCACTGGCGGTTAGCCACCATCTTCCATAGGCCCGAAGGTGGAAGGACTGGACAAGTGCTAGGACAGGAGATGCTCACTTAGCGAGTGTCGTCTAACTAACACTGACTCAGTGTGGGATCCCAGGCAAGCCCGAGAGCATTATAAGCCTCCCTATTTTAATAATGTCACTTAAAGTTATTCGTATTGCTGCATTACGTGACAGGAGTTGTTTGGAAACACTTGCTGCATATTACCTTCCTTGACCAAAAATATCTACCATGAATCCTATTTAAGTCCAGGAACGTTTATCATGCTTAGCTCTGCTTAGACCGGTAGAAGTCGGGTGATTTCCTGTCACCTGCGAGCTATAGGTGATAACTTGATCACGGTTGGCTATATTGTGCTATCGTGGAACATAACCTGGTAATGTGGAATAAATGGAGACCGGGCGGAGTCTTATATGTGGTATTATAGTGATTCCGTCTGTGTCGATTAAGGACCGATCGTTGCTCGTCCCTCTTGTCATGTTGAACGCATGCCTCACATTTAGCTGGCCGAATAAAGTACCTTTCGACCACGAAGCTAGTGACACTTTTTGAGCCAGGATAAACTCAGATTGGCAGACTAGTGCTGAAGGGGGTATGACGGGGACGCGAAGAGTGAGCCCAAGGTGCGTCCTGGCTATCGGGCGATCCCTGGGTAGTGCGGTCCATGACTGTTATCCTGCGGCTACTTGGAAAGTGTCATTGGTGATCTGTAGCTCGCTTGATCGGTGAGTGTGGTTTGTGTGAGGAATAAATCACCAGCTGGTTAGGAATCGATTCGAATCGCCATTGCTCCTGGATAGTGAGCACTTGACTCGGGCTACAGCATCATAGTAATTATGATGGAATACTGATGGTTATCTGGATGGTATGGGATATGCTAAATATAAGTTGGTAACTGAATGTTATTGGTTAATCAAGTGGTTGCTATAGTATAGGTGCTTACCTAGATGGATAGGTCATAATAAAGATGATGCAAAGTACTTAAAATGGTTTCTTCATGATAGCTTATGCTTTTCGCAAACGAGTCAGCTAGCCCACTAAAGAAAGCCTTGCATAATCCTTGGTGTCATTTGTTTTGGTTTCCGACGGGTAAGTCTAGCTGAGTACATTCGAGTACTCAGGGTTTATCACACCATGTTGTAGGTGAAGTTCTTGGCCTGCGGAAGATGGTGGCTAACCGCCGGTGGGCTCGGTGACTCTATATTTACTTCTCACCTATATGCTTTTATCAGAGGATGCCACTTATGCTAGCAATGTATTTGGAACTTATATTAATGTAATCATTTGAATGTTATGTTGTTTTCTCTAATCGATTTTAAAACCCAAACTTGTACTATTATTTGTGAACCCAATTGTAATATTATTTCCGCTGCAACTCTGCGTATGTGATGTGTATTTGCTTAATCGCGATCTTGGTTGTGATGTTGATTTACCGAGGTCCTTCGTGACACTCGGCGGACTACCGGGTTTATATGAGTGAAAGTATGTGCGTGTCAACGTGTTAGCGGGGACAGCCATACTTGATCTTGTATAAATTGGGTGGTTTTGTCACAGAGGACTCCGTCCTTGATCAGTACCTCGCTACCACGCTCATCCAGCTGACCAATGCTGATGATGCTTGAACGCAACTGTGGGATATAATATACATCCATTAGCGCGCGGTGCTCCTCGTTCTGGCACCTGAAGATGATGCTGCCATGCCCTTGGATTGCCACCCTTGAGCCGTCACCAAACTTCACCGTATCGGTAACATCGTCGTCGAGCTCGGAGAAGGCTTCCTTGAAGCCCGTCATGTGGTTGCTGGCACCGGAGTCCAGATACCACCGCTGCTCCTGGTCACCGCCCACACGTCCGAGGTGGACTTAGGCGTGCGGTTCTTCGAGGTTGACAACCTTTGGGACCTTCCCAGGCCCTTCCACCGCCGTCACCTCTCCCTTCTCCTCGGCCTCGACGTCGTGCAGTGCACAGAACGTCGCTATCAGGATAGTGGCCTCATCCTCATCATCAGCTTGCGCTAGATGAGCCTCAGCCTTCTTCTCCTGCTTGTTATTTGGGGACTCCCATGCCCAATGGCCTATCTTCCCGCAGCGTCAGCAGGCGTTGGGGTTGACCTGCTTCTTCCTCTCTGAAGAATCTGAAGAAGCCTTGCCGCGGTGCTTGGCATCGCCACCGCGGCTGGAGGAGGCTACCTCGGAGTTCCTCCGAGCAGTCCACTCCTCCTCTGTCAGCAGCAGCTTGCCGCTGTCCTTCGTTGCTGTCGTCTGCTCCAGGCGCTCGTCCACCGCCCGTAGACGACCTGTCACATCCTCAATGGTGAGGGTGGACAAGTCCAGCATTGTCTCTATGGAGAGAGCGATCTGGATGTACTTTACCGGCACGGAGTGGAGGTACTTGGAGACCACCTTCTCTTCGTCGATGGTGACGCCGTGGCTCTTCAGTTTGCTGATGAGTGTCTGTAGGTGGAGGGAGAAGTCCTCCACCGATTCACCATCCTTGAACTTGAGGTTGGCGTACTCCTGCTTCAGAAGCTGGTCCATCGCCTTCTTTGCGCGGTCGGAACCGACGCACATCGCCGCAATAGCCTCCCATGCCTCCTTAGCAGAGCTCTTCGCCCACAATGGCTCTCTGTACTCCGCCGTTACAGCAGCGATGATAGCCTCCAATACTGACATATCATCTTCTTCATTGTCGGTGCCCTTGTCAACAACATTCCAGAGCCGTCGGGCTCTGAGCTTGACCTTCATGGTCACCGACCACTCTCTATAGTTGGTGCGAGTCAGCGTTGGCCAACTGGTGCCGCTGACCTCCCGTACCGTGCGAACAAAGACCTCCTGTCGTGGCTGGGTAGCCACAGCAGTGCCACTGCTGTCGCCCATTTCCGAACCGTCCGTCATCGCCAGCGGTTAGTCCGGCGAAGGCGTTTGTACGGCTTTGATACCACTTGTTAGCCCACTAGATCATCGGCTCAGGTGAGTCGACCACTCACCAGTCTTGCCGACCACGGCCAAGCACGACAGACGTTGTCTGACCACACAATATGGCTAGAGGTAGAATAAGAGAGGAAGAACAGAGCATACACACATAGCCAGAGACACCAACGTTGGCCGGAGCCCTGTATAGGAGATGACAAATCCGAACTCTCTTTGTTGAGTTGCAGTGGCAAACTATATATACAACTCTACACATCTAGTCCTAGTACAGCTGTCCTGCTGTAACAGTGACTAGATAACACAGCAGGGCTGAGTCTGGCGTCTGCTCCTGCTGTGGCTATAGTCCGGCAGGTGAGCCGTTCGGCGCCTGCCTCTGCAACGGCTACAGTACCACAGCAGGGAGCCTTTTCGGCGCCGTCTTCCCTTGCTGTGTGTTCACACAAGGAAACAGTAGATTATCTAACAGAAATGAGTAACAAGAAAAAGCAAGGTACTGCAGACAAGATAACTTAAAAATACATAAACCTTTATTACCTGACAAAAAGCATCAGATATTCCCAGCTTCTCTTCTCAGCGTGCTCATTATGTCTTTCTGTGCTTGCACAAAGACCTATAGGGTCGTTAGCTTTGTCAATTTGGCATAATTAAAAAGTGTTAATAATACTCGATACAACATGCCAGTGCACAACATCTTGATTCTATCTGCATACACCGCTAACTTCTTCATATTCTCCATCCTTCCCACCCAATTAAGCCGTCGTACAGGAGTTGGATGCTGGACACTCAGGCAAGACAATTGTTAAAACCTATTCATGTCCCCAGTCTTTAAATCAAGAGAAATCATTAATGACAAAATAATAAAATGCGATAATTTCCATCTTTGTTTCAATATACCATTACTGGATCTGGACAATCTGGCAGATGCTGCAAGATCCGATCAATTTCCATGATTACACGCTGCTGAATCAACTCATCCGGCAAATGTTGTGCAATCATGGAGACTCTTTTGCGCACACCTTGTTTAAGTTCCTAAAATGTGGCAATTTAGTAACTTGTAATGTATTCAATCATAACAGGTATTGTCAATCATAACAGGTATTAGCAAATATACCAGCATCTCAAGCTCTATTTGATAAAAATTTCTCAACATTTTCTCTAGTTTGAAATCCTTATAATGCCACGCCTTCCATTTTTTCAGTTTCCATCCCCCCTGCGTCTTTGGGCGACGCACAACAGCAGCCTTTGCATACAAATCTAAACACACAAGTGATTTCACACAGGTATATAATTGCATGTCATCGTCTCCATATAATTGCATGTCATCGTCTCCCTAGGGTCTCGAACCTAACAGCTTAACCATCTTGCTAAATTCAATCTGAAAGTTCTTCCCAAGCAATTCATAAGAATACAAGTTATTATCACGATGTTGAATCAATATCTTATCAGTAGGGACTACCCGAGTCCCTCCCGTTCCCTCAAAAAAAAAAGTAGTCTTCGGGCAAAAGTTGATGAAAGTTGAATACTGTACATATGGCTCCACCATTGATCCACAGTTCCATTTAGTGCCCAGACCTGCAGCTTACAAATAAACATTCCATCCATACTGTGAGCAGTTGATACACATACCTTCCCGTTGATCTCTGTGACCCAGTAATTACGGCCATCACCAAATGCCCAATCTTCAAGCTCAACCACTGGCAGCTGTATCTGTGCAAAACTTCCTTCCCCAAGATCAAAGGACATAACCGCATGCTTCCAATTAGATCCCCCATCTTCAATAAGCCAATACATTGTGCCATCAACAATAACTACTCCAGAGTTTTTCACACAGTTCAAACTTAGAGCTTCTGGAGTTACGATATCTTTCCATTTCTCATCACCAAGTGTGTAAACTTGAATGACATTAAATATGCCTTCAGTAAAGGGACCGATCTCCTGACAAAAATGTATAACCTTGTATTCTTTAGTGGCTGGGTGAAATCCAAATCTGTAGAAAGAAAAGTGGTCGTCCTTTAAGCTTTTTGTAGGCTTCTTTAGATGCAAAGATTCACCAGTTGCAAGGTTGGCTATCTTGAGAGTTGATGTAGGTGTGTGTAAGCAAAGAAGCCCATTGCATGTACCGCAGAGGAGATCATCTGGTCCAATAACTGGTGCCGCCCATGTTGATGGTGACCAGGCTTCGTCAAAGATAACAGCATCACTGGGGCGCAGCGTGCCTGAAATCGACTCATTTGGGGAGAACAGGAGTCTATAGGGTGGTACATGCTCGAGGTGTGACATGGCAAACTGCGAATCTCGGATGATGACACGCCACATCTTGCAGACACCAATGCACCGCAGCAAAGAGCTAGCTGGGAGCCTCAAAAACACCTGCTCAATAAGTTCTCTCGGGAGGGAGTTCATGATGCATTTTTCCTTTATTGCCCGTCTTCTAGTGCTTCTCTTAGGGGCCATACTAACCACAAATCAGTTTTGTTCGTAAAAGGAAGAGCTTCTTAAGGCACAGATCCTTTCGCAGAGCAGCAAAGACACTCCTGCAAAATGCCTGCAAAGATTTAACCAGATGTGTGCTGCATGGAAGATTAAACTAAATAACAACACGTATATCAGAGTTACAGACACTTGTATTATTTGTTCACAAGCAAATAACACGAAATCTATGACTACAGACATTTTAAGTAAAAGTCTTAGCCACAATAAACCCATTGCACAATCAGAATTTCTGTTCTCAGATCAGCATCCGCTACTTCATTCCCCTATTGTTTCTCCCCTCAATAAATTCAGCACCCCTCCAGTTCTCTCTGTCATGTGCCAAAAGATTTCAACCAACACCCCTCTCTGTGTTCCCTACCAAATGTATAAGCATTCAACATTCCCCATCGTGGGCCTCGACTAACTTCAACTCTTCAAGCCTACCAAACCCTAGCCCAACAGAAATACAGAACAATAGTGGAAGGAGAAAAACAAGATAGGCATCCCGACTGATAATCAGGTCCGGAGAAAAAGAGGAAATGGAGGGAACTTACGAGCGCTATCAGGTTGAATCCTCCGCCGCCATGGTCTCCTTGTCCTCGCCACAATGGAGCGAACTAGCGACCACAGTCCGCAGTTCGGCTCGGAGCCTCGGTGTTTGTAACACCCTCGGTTTTACATCGTAAATTATTTACTAAAACATGTCATGAGCATCATATTTATGCGTTAATGCATGTGATAAGTGTGTAGATCAATTTCTGTAACTCGAAACGATCAACTAAATTGTGAAATGAAAGTTGATTCGATAGTCACGTTATATCACTTAGGGTTTAAAACCAATTTTTATTAAGCAAAAATGCTATAGAACATGTATGCGATACTTAAATAAAGTTTGAAGCACAAACTTTGTAGATGACAATGAAATATTTGTGGTCAAAAAATGATATTACTAACTAATATTTTCATTAGCCTAGAAATCGCAAATGGAAATCAAATTTAGCTCTAAAACTTAGAAATTTTCAAGTCTGCTGACTGCTAGACATTGCTATATTTAGCAATTTATTGTGAGAGATTGGGTTAAAGAGTAAGATAGTATTATGATTTGTTTTAGTAGCCTAATATACCCTCTAAGGTATAGCAAAAGTGGTTTGGGGATTGGATCAACGGTTTATACGTCTCGAACGCTTTAAAATCCGTGCATAACATGAACTCGGGCCGTCTTCATATGTTGGGCGCGGTCACCAGGCCGTCCTGCCCTGATGTCGCGGCGTCGGTGCGCCAGGTGCGCACGCACGTGCCCACGCTGGCCGGTTGCTGCTACCGCAGCCTGGCCGTAGTGGGCACGCCGCTAGCCGCCAACCGTGAGCCGCCGCGCCCGCCGCTCACCTACGCCTGGCCGTCCTACCGCCGTGCCGCGCTGCTGCCACTGCCATCGCGTTGCCTGGGCTTGGCCGAGGCCGGCCGCAGCGTGACCCTAGCCCTGCGCCCTGCTGCCCTGCCTCGCACTGGCGTTTTGGGTGCCGCCGCGGCCGCGTTGCGCTGCCGTCGCGTCCGCACTGCCAGCACTACTCACGTCGCGACGCTGCCGCTGCCAGCACATCGTCGTCGCGTCCGCGCTGATCCGCTGCACCTCTGCGCTATTGCTAGCCCTGTGTGTGTCACCTATGTCATGCGCACATGGGTGAGCCACCGTCGCCACGCCATTTATGGCACTACGACGTGCGGGCCACGCCGGTCGGACGAGCGCACGCGTTGTCCGTAGCGCCGGCGCGTGGGCCTCCCATGCTCGCCGCTCACGTCATGTCAAGGCATGGACAAGCCAAGCCCACCTGCCATGCCGTCTCTCTCTTTCCCTCTTTCTCCCTCTGTTTTCCGCCGCCGTCGTGTCATGTCACGGTGAAGCCAGAGAGCGAGCACCTCTCATCAATTCCTCGTGCTCGCGTCTCCGCCTTCATGCCCCTTCTCCAGCCGACCCCACCCCACCTTGATTACGGCCAGGTCGAGCCCCAATTTTGGAGCTTTGCCACCGCCGTGCCGTTAAGGCCCGTCATCGCCCGCGCCGTGGCCAGCCTCCACCACTTCACCCCACGCTAATTCCTCCGCACCACTAGCTCGCCTTGGCACCCTCTTCGTCATACGCACGCTAGTCGCAGCTCTAGTGTCATCTCCTCGCCACTGACGCGGCTGTGCCTTTGTAGTCCACCGTTAACCTCACAGCGCGCACGTGGCCAGCCTCGCTCGGGTCGTCTCCGGCCAGCTGGCTTCTCGGTAAGGTCGCTGGTGAATTATCGTTGCTCACCCGCTACCCCTACCACCTTGTTGTTGCTGCGGCTCGCCTAAACGCCGTCGCCATTGCTGTAGGGTGTCCGCCATCGTGGAAAGGTCCTTCTATGGCATCCTGGCTCATGCAACCGCCACCCATCGTCTCGCGTCGAACCCTAGGTGAGTGTCGGCCTTGTAGATAGGTCAGCGGGGGTCCCGTGTAGCCAGCATAAGCGCCAGTGCCACCACTCACTGCACCGAAGCATGCGGGGATGGCCGAGGACCTTGCCGTTGTAAAGAGGAGAAAGATCCGAGGGTTCCGTTGCAAAGTCGTTGTCTATAAAAATAGTAACGTGGATTGTGGGTTGTTTTGCTCATAGTCCAGGGGCATTTTTGCAAGAGTGCCGGAGCGTGCGGGCTTCCTCGCCGTGGGCCGCGTCCACGCGTGGGCCGCGCCTCACCTGTGGGCCGCCGCGCGCTCGCGCGTGTGTGCGCGTTATGCCGCGTTGGGCCGAATTGAGTTTATCTTTTTTGTGGAGAATAGAAATAGCTTTTTATTTTAATTATGAGCTGAACTTTGGTAAATCATATAAAATCATGTAGGTATCCAAAAATTGTAAAACCAATTTTGTTAAGTTCCTAAGATTGTGCTGCTATCTGTTAGTGTATTTAGTTGATATATATATTTGTTGATACCAGGATCTATTAAATCAATTAGAGCGTTTAATATTACTAGGTTAAATATTGTAGGAGTTTTTGTGGCAAAATAGTGATAGCTTTATCTTTGAAAATTTTATAGTAGTTTCGTGGTATTATTATGTGCTCACTGTAATTTTTGTAGCTTTAGCATAGACTTAACATAAGGGTAGTTAAATGCTCTTTGTTTCAAATATACATTAAATCATTAGTAGAAATAAAGATATATCCTCCATTTGTAAAGCTTGGTATTTGAAACCAACACTTTACTTGATGAAAATGATAGCTAGCTTAGTATCTTAGTCATTAGGGTTAGCTTAGTAGCTTGGTAGATGTATTGTTATTTTAAGAGTTGCTGTTGTCGTAATACAAAGTGTTGCATCATCATCGCATGCATGTAGAGAACGAGTTGGTGGAGATCATGACCATCGGAGATCACGAGTTTGAGGAGGTGATCGAGGAGTATGAGGAGGAGATCCTCATACAAGAGGAGGTCCCAGAGCCGTCACTGACTGACTAAGCTGACACCCCGCCTACCCAGGGCAAGCCCCGATGCATAACCCTTATTTTGAATAATCACCGGATATATATATATATATATATATATATATATATATATATATGTGTGTGTGTGTGTGTGTGTGTGTGATGTGCATTTATGTTACAGGCTTATGGTTGAAACTACATGCATAGATAAACCTACCTATGAGTCCTACTAGCATAGGTCGAGTCACTGCTATGCTTTGGCTATCGGTAGCGTGAGTAACCTGCCGTTACTCGCAATAGGTGATTATTATTATCACTCTCATGATAAATGGTGAAAAGGAAATGGAGACCGGGTAGGGATATGGTATGGGTATTAGTGGGTGTAAGAGGTTGTGTCCCGTGGCCAATGGGGCATAGCTTGGTTACACTATTTTCCCTGTTCGTGTCGGTTAAGGACCGACCATTGTATTGGATTCTAGTCAGGTCATAAACTTATTATCCTGAGCATATACTTGTTTATGGGAGCAGGAAAGGCTCGTTGCTCTCTTGTTGTGGGTTTTGGCTCTTTCCGGACCAACTGATTAGAGACAGGGATGGTGGAGGTCTAAGCACCACACTGAGTCCGGGACTCAGGTGTGGGGGCTTAGAGTCTAAGTTTGGACGGGAACCTAGACCCCTTGACAGGAGAGTGGTGGGTTAGTCTTGCTTGTGCCTGGGGTACAAGCGGGGCATGTGTTTCGGGGTACCCAGTTGGGCTACATTGATTCATGAATCGCCGTGTAATATGGTACAACTTGTCTATGATCTATCACCGTAGTAAGAACTGAAAGATGAAATATGGTGAAATGGATCTGATTGCTCAACTCTTGCTTGAAAGTAGAATATGTGCTTATATAGAATGGTTAGCTAATGAACTAATCATGATTGCTAATAAAATACATACATAAGGATTCACTACTAGTGTTGCTTTTTGCAAAAAAAAGGAAACCCGGCAAACCATAATGCTTATCATATCCTTTGGAGTCGGGAAATTATTCCCACTAGTCGGGTAAGTCTTACGAGTATATTGTGTACTCAGGGTTTATTTAACCCTGTTGCATGTGCAGCTTGAGGAGTAGCTGTTGAGTGGAGGATTCTTCTGGTGGGCACAAACGGATCCTTTTATCTTATCGCTAGATGTTTATTTTAAATTCCGTAGTTTAAATTTCGCACTCTGAACTTGGTATTGTAATAATGTATTTATGAAAACTCTTCATGTATGAAATGGACTAAGTATTGTAAACTCGTTCTCATTATTGGATCCTGGAGAAAAAACATGGATTGTTCGAGTTCTCCCTTAGGGTGTGCTCCACGGAACCGTCTGATGTAGCTTGTTTTCGGGGTGCTTAGTGTCTGGTGGAAGACGAGAGTCTTCAGAAGCATGCTATTTTAGGCGGTTCTGCCACAGTGTTCTGGCCTCTGGTAAGGAGGAAGGAGTGGGAGGGTACCATATGGACCAAACTGTTATAAAACATGTTGCCAGAGGTTAGGAGCTTTCC